CTCATCCAAACAACAGAATTGTTCCAAAGGGATTTTTGAAAATGATTATTTATTTAGAAATCACCCCATTGTAGTTGTTGAAGAATTGTTTACTGCTCAGGGGTTGATAGGTGATCAAGTTGTGTATAACAGATTGGAAGTTGAATCTAGGGACCAGGAGCCCTTGTACTTACAGCAGTAATTGTGAAAACATTTTTTTTCTGTGCTGGTACATCTTTTTAAGTCTTTGGGCTTTTTTGCCTTTAAGCTAAGTAAATTGGAAATCCCAATTAGGAATAAGTCAGGTCCCAGGTATGCTAGGTAAACAATAATCTGCTGTAGATGGAGAACATTTTTTTCAAGTACTTCTGATTATCCTCCACTTTTTCCCATCTATCTGAGAACCACTGATTTAAGTGCTGCATTAATAATTGATGTTTGTAAATAATTTGGACTTTGTTTACCCAAATTATGTTATTTGCATGTACACAGCCCTTAATTGTCAAATATACTTTTTAAAAATTATCTTTGCTGCCCTATTTTAATAGACATTTTTCCTTTTTAAACATTCAGAACCTTTATATTTAGAGAGCACAGACATGAAAAGAAAGGTAGTGAATGCTGGCAAGATGAGATTGAGTCCTAATGAGGAAGCCTTCATTTTAAAAGAAGATTATGAGAGAAGACGAAAGCTACGATTGCTACAGGTAAGATTTATTTGGAACAAAGTTTCAAATTCTGTATCTTCCCCCAATTATTAGTATTTTTTACATTAAAATGTTCTAAGTAAAATATTGCATTTTAAAACCTTTTCTTGCTGTACAAAAGCCTCGATTCTTGCATACTAACTAGTTTTGGAACATTTGAAAAATAGACCAGAATGGTAAATATATTGAAGAAGAGTTTGAGGATAGGGGTGAGTTGACTCAATAATTATTGGAAGATAGTTCTTTAAATATTTTTTAAATGATGTTTAACTGATAAAGATTAGGATGACTTTGAAGACTTAATGAAAAGATCATTAGCTGCTGAAACAAATTTATTATGAAGTTGCAGATTTTTCTTTTCTAGAAGTCTTTAGAGTAAGTTAGTTAAGTCTTTGTGAAGCATATTTTAGGTGCCATTCTGCTTAAAATTGGGATGATGTACCTTAGATAGGGAGTTCTCATCTAGCTCTGTCTATATTCATCTGGACTATACATTTTATTGAATCATGTTTAACCATTTTAGCCTCTTAAATTAGGTTATTAGAATGGTAATGGCAGTACCATTAGGGCTTGAGGGATATTATAGCTAATCATTTAGGAAACTTTAGGAGATGTCTTGAAATTTTAGGGTTTTTTTCCCTATATCACTTGGATTTTTTTTTTTTCTTTACATAGAGCTTATCTAATGAATATTCAGGAGAATTGATAGATCTAAAGAAAATTAATTTAAGTTTCTGTTTCCAAATAGCTTTTAAAAAAGATTTAAGTACTCTTTTTTATATATCTGCTAAATATTAATTCTTCAGGTTCGAGAGCAAGAAAGGGATATCGCTTTACAGAGAAGAGAAGATATAAAACAAAGGAGAATTCGGCAATTTAATCATTTGGCAGAGGCACTGAGGGCAGAATGGGAAGAATCACAGACTCAGAAAATAAACAACTTGGAAAAACTCTATTTGGCAAGTTTAAGAAGTATGGGAGAGGGACACCAACAAGCCAAAGAAAATGTAAGTGAACACTGGTATGACTGCCTGTCTGTGGTAGTAATTATGGTTAAAAACAAATTATACTTGTTAAATGTTTGTCTGATAAAAAAATGTTTTCATATATAGAATTTGTTTTGGGCAGTCTGAACTTTTTAAATTTAATGTCATTTAAGAATGCTGCTAGGTTCATTTCCTAGTAAGAGTCATGTCAAGTAAAATCTATCTTCCTGTAATGTTTAATTTGTGTGTGTGTGTTAATCCTCACCTGAGGATAGTTTTCCATTGATTT